TATACGAACACATATATACACATACACATATACACATACATACATACATATGGAACTGATATATGAAAATGTCCAAGATTACTATAACTAAACACACAAAAGTAACATTTGTTTTTCCTTTGTTATCTTTTTAGCAGTCAGCCTTGCATGAAAGAGATATTTCGCATAATGGTATAGTGTCCTAGGTATACATTGTGTCATGTATTCTATTCCATCAGATGGATTTTCCTAATTTAGATATATAGAAACCGTAAAACACACAAAGGTTCATTAATTGTGTGGAGATAGAATTAAAATATAAAAAGATATAGGTGATACAAAATTTCAGCATCCTTTTCTTAAAACAGCAGCCAACCAGATGCCTCCAAACATTTGCATCCAAAATTTGAAATTATAGCTAATATGGAATGCAAAATATACCATTCAAAAGAACTCTGGCTCCATATCAGAGCTGTCCAGCTTTCTTGTTAGCAAGAGCTTCTTAGGATAAATGGAAAATAACCAGTGTTTACCCTTGAGAATGTTCTTCTTTTTAAACAGAACATTGTCAAAAAGATAAAATAATATTTTGAGCTACTCAAAACATAATGAAAATGCATGGCTTGATAAAAATTATATTGGGCATTTATATATCAAGTTTTTGCCAATCTCAGTTTCTGGGGAAATGTCATTGTACATTAAAAGAATGAGAAACAAACGTAAAGAATAATTGCTGTTTAATTTATTAAAAAACACAACACCATGCAGTGTCTGTATTCTTATCTTTAGTCTTCCTTTAAAAGGATCTTCATTCTTGAAGATCAGGCAATTTGTTCCATTGATAACCCCATAAGTATAACATATATTATTGAATTATAGGTAGTCTTTGATTTACAACCATAATTGAGCCTGGCAATTATGACCATAAGTTGTGATCGTTAAAAACCGAGTCATAACACAACTGACCCAATTTTCGAAACTTTTTTGTGTCAATCCTTAAGTAAACTCAGTGTTCATTAAGCAAACCCATTGTTTACTATGGATCAGGTTTTGCTAGAAGTTATCCAGAAGTAAATGCTGGTTTCTGTTAAAACTATTGTAAATCATAGTCACATGACTGCAAGGGGCTCAAAGGGCCACAAATGCAGGTTGGTTGCTGAGCACCCAAAATATGGCCACGTGACCATCAGGGGGTAGCACTGGAACTTTGAAACCAGGTCCTAAGTGGCTTTTGGAGGATTTGTTTCAGGCAGTCACTGACCGGTCGTAAGTCAAGAACCTGTGTAGTAGTGGCATTAATTCAATGTATTGTATTGACAAAGAAATCAAATAAATAGCATGCACAACATTGATTAATATTGGAAGAGACATTAGTCAAAATACGTTGCATTGGTAGCCAAATAATATTGTTGCCAAATACATTTACATTGTTGCCACTTCCAGTGTTTTAATCAACCTTCAAATGTTAACTTATTGCAATATTACTATTTCCTTCCTGTTCCTAAGAGAAATACAGAACTGAATGGTGGGGAATCAATTTTGCTTTACACAATATCTTCATTTGATGCTAACCAAGATTTGTTTGTGAAATTTGGGGTGGTTTATTTTGATTTCTGCGTGGATTTTA